CGTCTCTGAACGAGAGACTCGAGTCGCTCATAGAGAGATCCTCATTTCGTATCCAGTCTCTGAACGATAGACATGAATAAAAAGTTCAACATATTTCAGAGATCCCAGTCTTTCTACGAGAGACTCGAGCCTCTCAATTTTTCACTTTTGTTCATTCAGTCTCTCTCCAAAGAGAGACTCGAATCTCTGAATTAATAATTTTATCGTTCGAGTCTCTCATACAGAGATTGTAAGAGATCAATAAAAACACCCAGGCAATAACTGAGAGACTGTGAAAGACTGTGAGAGACGCTCTCAAAGACGCTGAAAGACTCTGAGAGACTGGAGAGAGACTAAACATTTTTGTCTAGGGTCATTTTCCATGGATCCCCATGCTGAAATAATGCTCGTATTCGACATATGCTCATTTTGCTTGGAACAAGTCGCAAATTGCTAATTTATTTCAGCATCCATTCGAATTCGGCATCTAAGTCAAGCATCTATAAATTAAGGCGTGAAAGAAAAGCGGGCTGTCAAATATTTCCGTAGATTTATCTGTCATGAAAACAAATTTCACTTTTTTTTTGACTTCCCATTATGATTATTACTTTATTGGATGCATGAAAAAATAATGAGCTCATATTGATTGTAGACCTTGCTCTCTTTTCTTTGACGTCTTGTTCCATCAAAAAAAATTTTTTTTCATGCTTATACTACGTTGTAGGTTCAGATGTCAGTAAACTTTAAAACTCCATGTTATTAGATATCTTAAGAAGTATTATATTGACTGAAAAATAATAGCATTTCATGTTATAAATCGATATTTAACGTTAATAAGAGCAAAAGTCAGGGACGTGGCCAAATTTCCGTTGAAAAAGGTAGAAATTTATTTGTGTGTTTATATATATGCGCGTGTATCATTTTCTTTTTGAATACTTAATCATTATTTTTTTTGTAAACTTTCCAAAACCCACCTAGAAAGGATGTTTTGTCCCATTTGATCATTTTATGTTTTCATTTGGGTTTTTTAATTAACATTTATGGAAAATTTAATCTAAATTAGGGTGTGGTGACATTATTTTTATGTATAACTAGAACGAGTTTAATGGTATACTTATAAAATATTTAAGAATACACTTTTTAACCTTGGAACTTTCCAGATCATTCCAGATGTTTCTAGAACTTTGTGGAACATTCCATATCGATTTTAACAGTTGCACACAGTTTGGAACTTTCTAGATCATTCCAGAAATTTTTAGAACATTCTAGATCGATTGTAACAGTTGCACACATTCTGGAGTTTTCTGGATCATTTCAGAAATTTTTAGAACTTTTCAAAAGGTCTCATAAGTTAGAAAAGGACAGATATATATTTTTTCACATTGTTGCCACACACTTCCACCCACCGCGACCTAACTCCCTTACTTTCAGCAGGACACCAAGGGGTATTTACAACCCCAACGTTGTTGAAGTTGATAAGAGTTGGTGGTGATAGAGAAAACCCTGTCTTTACGTACGCACATTAGCATTTTATACATATATTTAGATTTTCGGGAAAGTGGAGCAAATGTAACCCCGTTCTTAGCCAAGTCCCTAACAAAAGTAAAATTTTTATTCGCTCCATTATTTTATAACAAGTGTATTAATCCAGTAAACTTTTCTTTAATTTTAGTAATGAATTTAGTAGAGCCGTAGCGGAAGAATATTTAAAATATTTTAACTTCGAACATGATACATTAGATGTAGCGCTAAGAAAGTTCCTCAAACAATTCTCTCTAACTGGTGAAACTCAAGAAAGGGAAAGAGTATTGGTACACTTTTCTAAGAGGTATTTGGATTGTAATCCAGGGTGTTTTAACTCACAAGGTAAATAAAAATTATTTAGTCATGTCTAAGGATTGTACTTGATGACAACGATCATTTTATAATTCGATTTCCATTTCTGTCACTTTAGTCCAGTCAACGAGGCTCTTTTTCCATTGAAAATGAACATTTCCGTTACGATCCAATTTTATTTTTGGTAAACCATTAAACAAATACGCTGTCTAATGTCTCTAATAAGCCCATCATGCCTGAGAAGGTGTCCTATCCATCACGTCTTTTTCTGATTTCTTTCTAGTATCTCCTCATTTCTAACCGTCCTCTATCCATGTTTCGCACCCGTACAGCGTCGCGCTCCAAACAATATTTTTCGAATTTCGAAATTAACCGTTCGCGAACATGGATGTGACTTCTTTTGGTTGAAGGCGACCCCGACCTTGCGTTATCCTCTGTTTTATAATTCTACTGCGCCTTCCATCCTGACTTAGTGGAAAAAAAAACATTTTTTTACTTTTTGTGAAAAATCTCATTTCCAATGCGTTTTTCGTCATATGTATCTTGCATGTTTTTTGTTCCACATGGCGCTGGTTGGATGTCGCTAAGTGCGATCGGATTTGTTTTCCCCTTCACTGAAAAATGCGCATTTTTTTTGTAAATATTTTGTAACGATTTTTTTGGCAACATCTTCGTTTATCCGACGTATAAAACCAACTTTAATCGTTAGTTAGCCACTCATTCAAATAAAAAACAAAGATTAAAAAAAATGAATGTTCTAGAACCTTCTGGAACCGAGATAATTTATTTTAACCTACAATTAACTTACAAAAAATATTCTGAAAAGCGGATATTTTGCAAAAAATAAAAAGCAAACGTCTTTTTGACTAATTGTTCAATTAAAAGATGTTGCCCCAACATCTCAGACTGTACATAACAAAATTCAGAATCAGCGTATTTTTTTTTTTTACTATTTTACCAAAAATAAAATGAGGTCATGTTGCTTCTTTGACTGAGCTACTTTTTAAAATATCATTTCATGATAACAAGAAAAAAAAAAGCCAAAATGAGATCTAAAAGTACTCATATTACTACAGTAATCAATATCAACGTTTCGCATTTTGGCATAAGACTTTTTTCTTGAGGCAAATTGCAACTTACTTTAAAAAATGCGAGACGTCGGTGTTGGTTGCTGTAGGGAAAGTATTTCTTGTGCCCCCATTTTACCTTTGACAACTTTATAATATTTTAGACGCTGTACACACACTGACATGTGCAATTATGTTGCTTAATACGGACATTCACGGACAGAACATGAATAGGAAAATGACTTGTAATGAGTTCATCGAAAATTTAGCTGGTCTTAATGAATGTGACAACTTTCCGAGAGAAGTTCTCAAGCAACTTTATTATGCAATTAAAAACTTTCCGCTGGAATGGGCGTTGTAAGTATAACCAGGGGCGTACACAAAATTTCGGGGGTTCAGCTCGTTAAGAAAAAATGCCCACATAATTAAAAATTTTTTCTTTTTTTTTTTCGATTNACAAACTTTTGTTAACAGTCCTGCTAAATTGACCTGACGTGCTTCTCTGGAGTTGCACGTCCGACAGATGACTATTTGGCAACACGTTTGCATTTGAAACCGTACAAACTAACAGTTGTACTTCAAAGTTGTAAAGTCTTTTTTGAATCACCCTATATTATAAATTAAATATAAATCCCCTTCTCCCTAAGCTGGCTCTAAATTTCCTTAGGTCTGGCGACGTTAGCCAAAAATCGAATGTGTTAATGCATATCTCTCTCCCTCTTACTTACTGCCTGCAGAGAGAAAGAGAGACAGATCTGAAGAAATAAAAGTAGGAGTCATATTAAAAAGCTTCGGAAGCTAATGTGTTCGTAGCGACCGATAGTCCTAAAATTGCCTTTTCGAAACATTTTGAGCAATTAGCACTTGTTTATCAGTTTCTTTTTACAAAATAGCTTGACCAAAATGTATATAGTTAGGACAATCAAAATTGTAAATGCAAAATAATAATAGTAAGCGGTGCAACGGTTAGAAGTTGCTTAGGTAGGCAAAAGATCAGGGTCGGCTTTATAACTGTCTGGTTGGAATTATATCTTTAAACAAGCGTCTTCTTTTCCTAAATTTCTGAGAATGTTGTACTTGTCCGATGCTCGCAACAAGGTTTGTTATGAGTAAAAGTAGGCGATCTGTTAGCAACCGCTCTAGTTTGGTTAGTATGTAAATTGATAGAAGAAAGTAAATGCGACAGTTTTATTACACATTATGCCAATTTTAAACGTCCCAGCTATACCTAAATATCTCATGTGTCGAATAGCGAAAGAAAGCTTCGTTCTTATCCGGTGTCCCACAACACCACACAGCTTGTTTCAACCATTTACCATACTGTCCTTTTAAAGTTGCAGTTCTGTTGTTCATCGGGAAGTTAGTCTAACAAACCCATTGTAAAATTTGTATCGAATGGACAAACAAACAGACAAGAAAGTGAATTGTGAAGTACAGGACCTCCGATAGTTTTGCATTCATCAACTGAGACACCTGTTAGAGGCCGTCACTGACCTATGTATCTGATTATTTTTCTAAAAATAGACGTGCTATTATATTATTATAATGCATTTACTCGACATACATATATCTTATAAACTGCTAACAAACTTTAATGATTAATAAGTCCCACCAAGAATCCAATAAGTCGTTGAGCAAATTGATTTTAATTAAGCAGGTACTCGCTCGCTGGTCTATAAGGAGAACTATGCGGTTGTTTCAAGAAAGTGCTCCGTAATTAATTTAAACGATTCAGATATTTCAATCGATAAAGTTAAGTGCATTTTTAATTTTTTAATTATTAATCAGCTTAATTAAAGAAGGAAACTGGAGAATGACTTAGAAAGCTGGAGAGATAATTTACGACTAGAATTTTTTTGAATTTTTATAGATAAGTAACCGATTGTAATAATTTTAATGGTATCCGTGGTAAATTTATATAATAGAAACGAAAAATGTTGACTTCACACTTTTCATTTAAATATTCTGTGACAATACTGTAATGTTCGTGGGTTTGACAATTAACTTCTAAGACTGATAACGACGAAAAATATTTATTTACACTAATTACAAACAGAACTTAAAAATTAAATTATTACTAAAATTAGGTTATGAATTACTCTATTTATTTACACTATTGTTGATTTATCACTATTCACTGCGCTATTTATTTCACTGCTATCACTGTCAACTTATTTCTGGATTCACTTCTGCAACGGTCAATTTATTTCTACTCCACTTGGCGATCGTCTCTTCCTTTAAATATTCTTTTGTTTACTTTGTGGGACCTTCTGGAAACATCCGGATAGTTTACTTTTTCTTTGAACTGTTTAACTGCTTTCCCAGAACGCAGGTACGACACACACATTTACAAATACGGCGCACATGAAGAAAGGCGCCCGCGGCTAGTCGGCGAATCGATAAGCCGTTCACGCACACGTGTGCCCGATCGCACACAAACACACTCGTGCTCGCTACAGTATGTTCTTTGAAGTTATGGCCATTACGTTGCGTCCGCACACGTTCGTTATAAATGTATCCATAGTGGTGGTATAAACTGGCAACTAAGTTACTTCAGACAGTGGAACTCCAGTTAAATTCAGTAATATTTTTTCGTTTGGTGTTTCAGATAACATTTAATCAAATTTAAAGAAGGCATTTTGTACTTAATAACGAACTCTGGAATTCTAAGTAAACTTATCTTCGTCTTGATAGAAACCATAAAGACTTACAGCAAATTTAACATTTTTTATTAATTTTAAACTACCCTACAAATAATTTGAAATTTGCTTACTAAAATCCAAACAAGATTCATATAATAGTTGAACGAAAGCCACGAAATATTTTACAAAGAGGAATAACGAATAAGAATGAGATTATGTAATGAAAAATCTATACGAAACTAGTTTTTGATTCCTTTATAAACAAATCGAAAGTCTGTTCGGCAGCCGTACTTTAATAAATGAAAATTTAAACCATTCGATCCAAAGCATATAAAACGACATCTATTTGGATTCCAACAAACACATACAGCATGTAATATACACACACACGTAGACACACATGCATAAAATATTGTTGTTCGATGTGGGCGACCCACTCTGTTTACCAAATAGTGGCTCTCTTAAAATTCTGAATGTGATTCCAATTTGTCCACACGTCCGATTGATTAATACTTTGAACGCGTTTTGGGTTGAACGGTTAGTTGGCCGTTTTAGTAATTCAATAAAATATAAAGGGCCGAAAATTTGTTCAATAGCACTCATTTATTTGAATGCACATCCCAACTTTGTTCAGATCAAAAAAAAAAATAGATGAACAACGTTGAAAAGCGATCAGTGATACGTTAGGACTCGCTAACTGATTTATAATTTCTCTGGATTATCTAAATCTAGAGAAAATAGTGGTAAAGGTCTAGATGATGGCCCCCACCCCCGAAGGGGGGG